GCCGCCTCGAGCTGCCCGGCGGCCGTTGCGCCGGCGGTTCCGCCGGGGGGTGCCGGGTCCGAGCGAACGACAGCGGCGTCCCCGGAGACCCTGCCGGCGAGACCCGGACGGGTGAGTGCCGCGGGCTTCCGTGTCCATCTCGGCGACGTTGTGTTTCCGTGAGCGCTAAGGTCGCGCAGGTGCGGGATCGAAACCCGGGGAAGGAGAAGAGGAGGCTGCCTGGGGACCGTCCTGTCCGGACGTCGCTTCCGTTCCCGGGTTTACTAAAAGACCTTTCACACGTACCTGGGGATCGTCACCGTCCGTGGGGATGGCCTTGACCCCCTCACCTGCTTCCAGAAAGCACAGGAGGCAGCTGACGCCCAACACTCATGTGGAAATCGGCCCCAAACCACTTCCCCGGAGACAAAAGGGGGCCTCCACTAGAGGAAACTCTCTCTAGAAATCCTGGCCTAGAAAAGAAGCCTGAGTGCAGACTGAGCCCTGGCCGGCTGCCTGGGGTGGTGGAGAGAGGGGCCAGCTGCTCTTAGTTGTGTGACCTTGGGCGGGCCCCTCTGCCACCCAAGCCTGGGTGTCAGAAATGATGGTGGCACCTGTCTCAGAGTGGGAAGGGGAAACATGGACGTCAAGGGTATGCAGTAGGCATTGCATGAGTGCTGGTCTTCTTCCCTTCCCTCTCTGAGCCCCCCAGGAGCCAGGGGCAGTCAGGACAGGGGTGGGTAGAGGTGGTCGTTGTCACAAAGTTGCTAGTTTGTCAGGAGAAATCTAGTTGTCCCTTCTTTCCCCCCGGGGACCTGGACAGGATGTGCCTGCAATTATTCCTCCGATTGCTGGAGCCTCCTCTGTGTGTCCCCAGTTACCTTGAAACAGTACTGACTTCTTGTCACATTGTTCTTTGTTAGCAAAGGCTGCCTGTTCAATAGGTAACAAATTGACTCTTCTCAACTCAGATAGCAAGGAAAAAATTCCTCCCTAAAACCCACAGTCCTGTATGTGACTTGTGCCCATATTGCTGGCCTAGTCCTTCTCTGTGTGCCCCAGCCCCCAAGATCCCCCACAGCCTGACTCTGTGCTATGAGTGAGTCGCTTAGCGTTTCAAAGCTGGAAGAAACCTTAACATCTGGTCCACCAGCCCATTCCATAGACACGGCCATGAGGTCTAAAGAGGTTAACGCGCAAGTTTATACTGAATGTTCCGGGCGGGGCATAGAACCCAGCAGAGGTTTCCTCTCTGCGGGCTTGTTTTTGTTGTTGTTGTTGTTTTTTATGGCCAGGCGGGAAAGCCTAGGGGTTAAGAGCATGGAAGCCACCCAGGGTTGGAATCCCAGCTCTGCTGCTTCTTCCTATCTGTGTGACGCTGAGCAAGTTACTTCCCCTCACTGCTGTCATCTTCCGCCTCCATAAACTGAGGATAATAATAGTGCTGGCCTCGTGGGGTTGTTGTGGGGATTAAATCAGTGAAGACACTGGAAAGCACTTAAGACAGTGCCGTTTGTCTAGAACGTGTCTTATGCATGGTAGCCCTCACTGCACTGCGTCCTTAACCTTGACATGATATTTTGCAAGTAAGATGCTCTCCAAGACTGGGCCACGCACAGCCGAGCATCACGGTGAAGGGCCCAGGTTTGATTCCCAGCCATTTCCTAGCTTCGTGGCCTTGAGCTCAATACCCTCAGCTGTAGGGCCGGCTCCGTGGCTTAGCGGTTGAGTGCGCGCGCTCTGATGCTGGCGGCCCGGGTTCGGATCCCGGGCGCGCCCTGAGGCACCACATCTCCGTCCAACCCGAGGCCGAGTCCCGCGTACAGCAACTAGAAGGATGTGAACCTACGACATACAACTATCTACTGGGGCTTTGGGGGGAAAAAATGAATAAATAAAATCTTTAAAAAAAAAAAAAAAATACCCTCAGCTGTAAACTGGGATAAGTGACATCCTCTTGGGGGGTTCAATGAGCTAGCTCATGTAGGTCCCTTAACTTGGTTCCAGGGTCACAGCTGGGCTCTGAAATGATAACTGTTGTCCTTTTAACCTTGATCCAGCCAGAAGGCCTGGTTGAGATCAAGCATCAAAAGGTAGATATTTGTAGCAAGTGGGCTAAAGGACATGACGTTGTCGGATTTTAGATGATAAAGGAGCACTTGTTAAATGTTCTGTCTGATTCTAACAACCTGATTTTTTCACCTCACAGTGCAAAAGAGTTCTTTGTTGTATGCTGTTTTCTCGCCCTCTGTCCTCCACGTGACCGTTTTGGCTGCTGTTGTCCCCGGCATCTGCCAGCAGAGCCTGCAATTCATGAATGACTGGAGTTATCACTACGAGCTCACGAAGCCTGTTCTTGTCATAGGGCTGCGATCTCTCATGATGGAGGGGAGCCGGCAGACGCGAGTGTCTCGGCCGTACAAGATCAGCGAGTCTTCAAAGGTCTGTGCGTGGTCGCTGACCACCTATGCATATTGCCTGAGAAGTGTGATGTTTTTCCGACAAGCTCATTCTTAATATACAGACCGATTTTCTGTTCATGGTGGTGGTATTAGTCTCCTTAACGATGAGTAGAGGTAGCAGGGGCAAGGAGTCAGAGAGAGCTGGGGGCGCGAGGGACATTAGAGAGACAACTTGGCTCATTTATTCTGTGCCTCAACCCTAAGAGGTCATGGGGCAGGAGAAAAGCCACGGGATTTCTGTCCTCACTTGCACTTGGGGGCTCCAAACTCCAAGGGTGTGTCTGTTGAGAAGCCAGTGCCCAACCTTGTGGTGGGGGCAACACATTGTGTACCTGGGTGATAAGGGCCCAGAGTCCTTACCTTCTGGGACCCTGAGAGCCAGTGAGTGTGGGTTCCCCAGGGCCAGGCTACCAACCTGTGTCACACTGGCTGCATCAGTATCTCCCTGAGAGAATGTGTGGGGGAGGTGTCTCATTAGAAATACATATGCCAGGCCCGCCCCCAGACCTGCTAAATTAAAATCTGAGAGCAGAAACTGGAAATCTACACCTCACGGAACTTGGAGCAGCCCCTGTCCCCACAGCTGCTATAGATAAGGATCAGGGGACCGAATTGCAGGACAGTCCCCATTTACACCTGTCTCTATAAATGGTAGTAACATCCACTTTTCTCTAAAAGTGGCCCCTTTTGGTTTTTTTTTTTTTTTGGTGGGGGAGATTGGCCATGAGCTAACATCTGTTGCCAATCTTCCTCTTTTTGCTGAGGAAGATTGGCCCTGAGCTAACATCTGTGCCCATTTTCCTCTATTTTATATATGGGACGCTACCATAGCATGGTTCAATGAGCGGTTCATAGGTCCACGCCCAGGATCTGAACCCAGGATCCCAACCTGTGAACCCCGGGCCACCAAAGTGGAGCGCAAGAACTTAACCACTATGCCGCCAGGCCGGCCCCTAAAAGTGGCCACTTTTGAAGATTAAATTTTATGGTTACCTTGGGTCATGCATTCTGAATGGAGCCAGTGTTGCCCCTGAGGGGGTGAAATTGGTTCTTAGGGGTGTGGAAAGAATTTTACTCTTTTTGTGTATAAAGCACTGCTACACATACAGTACATGCACAGACGTACAGAATTATGTGGTGTTAAAATTTCATAGGGGGCTATTATGAAAAAAATCTCGAAGGAGGATTGAAAAATAACACTTTAGATAAGGGGAGTTGTGAGCAGCCTATAGATTTGAGGGGGGAAAAAATGAGGGAAAGAGATTCTACAGATATGCATGAAAGAAAAACGGGGTGTAATTTTCAGGAGAGGTGGGTTCCGCAGAGAAACGGTCTCCTGTTTCCATCTGAGTTACTGAGAAGGGTCTTGCCAAGCCCAGCTTTATCTGCTATGAAAACCACAGAGGTCTCGCTGCGTTTCAAAGGGGCTTTGTTCCGGAGCTTGGCTGCAGAGACAGGGTAGCTTTCTAAGTTTGATAGCACTAGAAATCTTTGTCCCTTAAAGCCAGATTCTGTGTGTGTTTCTTTCTGAATGGAAGCTTTTAGGAACAGGGTTCTCTCTCCCTTCACTGATTGTATTTAGGTTCCTAACGTTTTATGTTAAAAAAAAAGTGCCCAAATCATGTGTACCCTTGATTTTCCATGTAGCCAGCTCCCAGATAAATTAAAGAACGTCACCAAACCCCTCCAGTCCCTACAGTCAAGAGAGCCACTCTTCGAACTCCGCAGCTTCGCCTGCCCCGAACTTTGTGTAAATGGGTTCAGAGGGTAGGTGCCTACTCTTTTCCCTCCTCCTTATGCTTCTGAGGTTCACCTCGGTTGCCACCTGGAGTGGTAAATTGCTCCTTCTCAGTGCAGTGGAGTCTTCCATTGTATGACGGCCTCTGTTCGTTTATCAACTCTAAGATGCGTCGATCCATTTGGATGCTTAATTCTTTTTTAATATGAAATACCCCATACCTGCTGCCTCGTGTCCAGGGTTAACACCTGAGTACCTGTGTTTCTTCACCCACCTGCCTTGCCTCTGATTAAGGCACTAAAATAGGAAATGCAGGAATGAACAGGGTTAATACCATCAGAGAATGTTGGGAGTTGGGGCTTCTCAATTGTGGGAAATGCTGCCACTCTGTTACTGATGTCCCTTTAAAATTGGGAAGTCACGTCTGTCTGTTTTTTGAAAGTTCTCATCTCTGCAGCTACACCAATCAAATAATCAGAAACAGGCTGTAGTCGAGACCCAGGTAAAAAAATGGAACGTGCCTGCTTAGCGTGAAGACCCAGTTTTAGAAACAGCGTCTGCCTTTTTCCCTGCCCTGCTCCCAGGAGCAGATGGCTCCCCCCGGCAGCTGTTGTCCGGGGCTTTCCCCGCTCCCTGCCCCCAGGGCTCTTTCCCTTTTTACTCTGCAGGTTGGGGTCCTGCATGCCCCCCTTTAAGTGTGTAGTGCCAGCACCCCCACCAGCTTAGAGACAACTGGGGGCCCAGGGTGGGCAGACAGCCACCTGATGCCAGTCACCTGCTTCTCTCAAGACACTAAGCCTTGACTATACTCGAGAGCTCCTGTAGTGCTTTTTCAGTCCCGTCCTTCAGTCCACCCCCCAGAGGGGCCCCAACCCAGTGTGTGTCGGAGCCCAGACTGTTCCTGCTTAATTAGAAGCCAAAACCAGGCCAGCCTGGCTCTCTCTGTGAGTAACCAGAATAGACGGCGACACCCGTGAATGGGCCGTGAGGGGCCGTCCCGGGATGTGAGAGCAGCAGAGCCTGGCTCTCTACACCTGGAAGGGCAGGAGGCTTTAGGTACTGCCTGGTGTCCTCTCAGAATGTGGGACGTTGCCCAAGCCTGTAACATGGACAGAGTGAGGAAGGAGCACAGGGAAATAAAGTACCCCAATTACAGGTGTGTCGGGGGCAGATCTGGAGGGGAAGAGAGAAATGAAACCCACAGCTGCAGGACACGTGGAGAAGTCACCTGTAAGAACTCAGGCCCTGTGAGCCAGTCCTCAGTCCATCCTCCTTTCCTCCATGTCTCCTTTTCAGGCTTGACACCCGGCCAGCCCTTTTGCTCAATCGCCCTCAAATAGACCAGCTACCTAGTTGACATTTCTGAAGGGTCTGTTTTTCCCTATGTTGAATTTTCTTGTTGGTTTTTGGGTGTTTTTGTTTTTTTTAGTTCTGAGCTAATAGCATCTGTTGCCAATCCTCCTCTTTTTGCTGAGGAAGACTGGCCCTGGGCTAACATCCATGCCCATCTTCCTCTACTTTATGTGTGGGACACTGCCACAGCATGGCTTGATGAGCAGTGTGTAGGTCGCACCCGGGATCTGAGCCTGTGAACCCTGGGCCACTGTAGTGGAGTGCGCAAACTTAACCACTACGCCACTGGGCTGGCCCCTCTTGTGGTTTTGATAGTGAATAAATAAAGCAGTGTGCAGCTTCCTGAAAGCCTGATGCATAATTAGTCCTCCAAGGATTTAGAAACTGTTTTCTCCATCTGACTTATCTTCGTGCCCTCAAAAGCACATGGCAGGCATATAGCACTCAATAAATGCCTACCAACCGGAATTTGTTGAGTTTAATTCAGATTAATTATTCATATTAATTGATTTGTTGATTCCAGGGTAGCATGGTCACTAAAGGTATGGGTCTGGAATCAGACCTGTGTTCAGGTCTCAGTCCTGCCACTCAGTCTCTGTGGGGCTTTGGACAAGTTTCTTAGTCTCTCTGAACCTACGTTTCCCTCAGCTGGAAAAGGGAGATTGTAATAGATGTTCCATTGGAGGGTTTTCCTGCAGCTGGAATGAGAGAGTGCACAGCACAGTGTAAGGTACGTGTAAGCCCCCAGGAAGAGACAGCTTCCTGCATTTTACATACAATGTATTTCTTTTAACCCTGGCAGTGGCGGGTGAAGCCATGCTTCTGAAAGGAGTAGCCCACGGTGGTCAGGATACACTGCAAGTCTTTGGGACCCCCCACATCCCTGGACCCATCAGTGAAAATGGAGTCTCCGTAGCATGACTGTGTGCCCAGCACTTTCTAAGACACAGAGAAAGCCGTCTTCCCAGCACAGAACCTCGGTGGGAATTGACAATCACAACAGCGAATGTTTCTCCAGCTCTCTGCCATGTCCTGTCTCATTGACTCCCGGAACCTGAGCGGAAAATACCCTCATCCTTGTGAGACGAGGAATTCTCGCGACTGACCCAAGATCACCCAGTTTGTCGGTGGCAGAGCTGGGGTTCAAACCCAGATTCTGTCCGACTTGAGAGGCTGTGCCCCGAGCAACTCCTCTGTCCTGTACAACAGAATTTTTCAAACCTGTTTGCTTCGTGACCCACAGTAAGAAAGAGAGAGGGAAGAAAGAAAACTTTTAGGAATCCTATTTATAAAGAAGGAAGGAAGGAGATGAGAAAGTATTTAGGAATTGTATTTATAAGGAAAGAAAGAAACCTACAGTACCTACACACACACACACACTTACACACACGCAGAAACACTCTTATATCCTGTGATGCCCTCTGATATTTCATTTCCTGTTCTCTTTTGTTCCGCTGGATTTACATGCTGGTTGTGATGCACTAGATTGGTTCCAGGACCTGTAGCTGAGGGGGGTGGGGTTGGCATGCTTCCCCAGCCCGGGTTCAAGCCGAGCCCTGACGTGCGCTCTCTGCCGCAGGTGTACCGCTGGGCTGACCACTCAACTACGGTGCTGCAGCGGCTGAACGAGCAGCGTCTCCGTGGCCTCTTCTGTGACGTTGTCCTGGTGGCCGATGAACAGCGCGTGCCGGCCCACCGCAACCTGCTGGCCGTGTGCAGCGACTACTTCAACTCCATGTTCACCATCGGCATGCGCGAGGCTTTCCAGAAGGAGGTGGAGCTGGTGGGTGCCTCCTACATCGGCCTTAAGGCCGTGGTGGACTTCCTGTATGGTGGAGAGCTGGCCCTGGACGGCGGCAACATCGACTACATCCTGGAGACGGCCCACCTGCTGCAGATCTGGACGGTGGTGGACTTCTGCTGCCAGTACCTGGAGCAGGAGGTGAGTGAGGACAACTACCTGTACCTCCAGGAGCTGGCCTCCATCTACAGCCTCAAGCGGCTCGACGCCTTCATCGACGGCTTCATCCTGAGCCACTTTGGCACGCTGTCCTTCACGCCCGACTTCCTGCAGAACATCTCCATGCAGAAGCTGTGCGTCTACCTGAGCAGCAGCGAGGTGCAGCGGGAGTGCGAGCACGACCTGCTGCAGGCCGCCCTGCAGTGGCTGACGCAGCAGCCTGAGCGCGAGACCCACGCCTACCAGGTGCTGGAGAACATCCACTTCCCACTCATCCCCAAGAACGACCTGCTGCACCGTGTCAAGCCAGCCGTGTGCGCGCTGCTGCCTAGGGAGGCCAACTGCGAGGGCTTCATCGAGGAGGCCGTGCGCTACCACAACAGCCTTGCGGCCCAGCCGGTCATGCAGACCAAGCGCACGGCACTCCGCACCAACGAGGAGCGCCTGCTGTTCGTGGGCGGCGAGGTCTCTGAGCGGTGTCTGGAGCTCAGTGACGACACCTGCTACCTGGACGCCAAGAGCGAGCAGTGGGTCAAGGAGACGCCTCTGCCAGCCCGGCGGAGCCACCACTGTGTTGCCGTGCTGGGCGGCTTCATCTTCATCGCAGGCGGCAGCTTCTCGAGGGACAATGGAGGGGATGCGGCGTCCAATCTTCTTTATAGGTATGACCCCCGCTGTAAACAGTGGATCAAGGTGAGATTAAAGCCAGATTATTTCTTTACTCTTGAGGACTTTTGATCTCCTTAATCTAGCCGTGCCTGCCCCTCCCTTCTCTCAGGCCTTGACCACATCCTGCTTCTGAACGAGGTGTGACGATAAAGTGATGTGCCACATAATCCCTACCCTTGCCTGTGCCCAAACCCTGGCTGGTGGGAGTGGGGCTGACCGGCTGCCTTCTACAGGGTCAGTCGTTGTCCAGAACAACATGTCCAATAGAACTTTCTGCACCAATAGAAACGTTCTACGTCTGCGCTGTCTAGTACAGTAGCCACCAGCCACGCGTGGCGATTGAGCACTTGCAATGTGGCCAGTGGGACTGAATTTTCAATTTTATTTCATTTTAACTAATTTACATTTGCGTGTAAATGGCCGCCTAGTGGCTACCATATTGGCTGGCTCTGGTCTAGAGATTGGTCTAGAGATTGACCCATCGTTCAAACAATCTTCCCGTGTCTGAGTCTCCGCCGAGCTCCTCTTTTGGAAAGGTTTGGAGCTAGTTAAGGAAGCTACAGTGTTCACGCCTGGTAGGAACTGGGCCTTTTGGCCGGTATGGCGGCCTCATTCTGGAAAGAGCCTGGGTCTTGGCGTTAGACCTGACTTCACATCCCAACTTGGCTGAATCGCTGGGAATTTCAGGCTGATTCCTGCCTTCTCCAGATTTCAGCTTCCCCTTCGGGAGATGGGTTGGGAACGTGGACCTTCCAGGGGCGGGGTGTGTGGCTCTTGTTGATTGGCAAGCACCTGGCAAGGAAGGCGTTCCTTTCTCCTGCAAATATCTTTCCAGACCAACCCCCCACGAAAGTCGGTCTCAGGCTTTATACTCACACCTCAGTGTTTTTACTTAACTCGGTGTTTTTCTGAGCTCAAAACTCAGAATTGATTCCAATGACCTTTCAATTTTATTCTCAAAAATCTAAAATTACCCACCACAGTGCAAGTCTTGCCACTAGAAAGAGGCTCCCAGTTTGGAGCCCGTCGGCAAAAGCTTTTGTAGCAGTGGCAGCCTGAACGTGTGGTCTCCTGTGGGACTGTTCATTTGTGTGTTCTGCTTGGGTTATTTAAAAAAAGAGTTGACTCGGGGCCAGCCCGGTGGCGTAAGTGGTTAAGTGCGTGCGCTCCGCTGTGGTGGCCCGGGGTTCGCTGGTTCGGATCCTGGGCGTGCACCGACGC